ATTTTAATGCATACAAGATAAGATAGATTATTATTTATTAAAAGAAATAAGCCTTACATCTCGATTATAAAATTGAGTTGTCTAAGTATGTATGATATGCGCAATGTCTCAAGACTAATGTGAACATATTTTTGCAACTAAAAATTTAAACTCTTAAAGCTCGCAATGCTCAAGTATTTTTATCATTTTTTTAACTCTTAGTGTCGAGTGAATATAGCGACCTGTGTATAGAAATGGAAGTCCATGATGTTGAATGTTTAGAAGATTTATTTATAAGTCCAAATGATATGCAAAGATAAAACTCACTCAATAAAGTGGTAACTCTCAAAGGAGAAGTTATCATTTTTCCTGCAATGTGAAGACTTGAAAAATAAGGAATAGATTTGATATAAAATGTATATGCCTAAAGTGTTCTTTTCATGACTATTCCTAAATTACAAAGATGTTTCAACTCAATTTTAGTTGATGTAATTTTTTTTTTAAAATTTTATATGCATGATGTTTCTTAGGTGTGAATGCAAAATTTCTTTATTTTTATTTCGGTTATGATTTTTCTTTTTATTAAAAAAATTTATATTGAAATTGTTTATTTTTTGGGCAGATTATTTAGTCCCTATCAAGTCTAACAATATTCCAAGCAAAAAGAACCAAACAAAACATCGACTTAAAACATGGGCAGACTTATCAAGCACAAATAAAGCAACACAACAAAGATGGCAAAAAGGGTGCTAACCTTAGAGCTATGTCCGACTAGTTGGTCGAAGATGACATCTGAACATTCTTATTGGTTTAGTTGAGGTTTATCCTTTACTTTTGTGTTTATCTTTCCGTGGATGTTTTGGATGCCAATAGTCGACCAACTATGATAAACACTTAACTTTAGAAAGAGAAAAGTTGTTATGAAAAATAAACTGTGTTTACTATGATAGCCTAGGTTTACTACAGATGTCTAGCAAAACAAAGTTAACACATCCTAAACCTACAATGACAGCCTAGAAATATGTAAGGGAAACTATAACAATCTAGAATAACTTGCCATAGAAGTGTATTATATAAAAAGAATAAAACTAATTTACTTGTCCTAAACAAATGTCTAACGGATAGACAAACACAAAAACACCACAATACATGACGACCTCTCCCGACATAATTCTAAAATTTGAGTTAGAACCTTATGATGTCTAAAAAATATATTATTGATTATTGGGGGGAATTAATGACAAGACCTGATTAAGATTCCATGGTTGTATCGTTCTGGGTCGTCATGATTCCTAATCTACTTAGTCAGAAAACGTGGTTATCATGTTCTAACTGAAAAAATTTTTATCAACAACTACGGGTCGTGTCGTCGAAGAGATTTGTAGATCCAGGATGGATTATTGTCCAAGTTGTAGGTTTTGTTTTGTATGTTCATTAGGGATTCACTTTAAATTTTAGTGGCTTTTGAATTTTAAGAATTTTGTTAATTTTTAATAGGATCGCTGTTTAATTTTAATTTGATTTTTAATAAGATTGTCTTTTAATTTTTACTTGATTATTAATAAAATTGTTTTTATAACAATAATTTATTTTTAAAGGGATTGTCTTTTTAATTGTAATTCATAATAAGTTCATATGACCATTAAGACTCTTAAATTATATAAAAATGTTCATAATTAGATTCTAAACAACCTCTAAAATCTTCATGTCATCCTAAGTTCACTGAGATTTTCCATGAATTATTGTGTTTACTTAATCGATTAATTATTCAAACATTATTAAAATTTATAAAATAGATAATCTCATCACATAAGTAAATGTTAAACGACAAAACTAAAACACTTATAGCTTTTCCAAAGAAATTTCAAATTGAATGAAATCTTCTCTAACAAATCAAGTAAACAAAGAAAAATGTAGCATAATCATCATTATTTAGGAATTTCCAATGTGTTTTTGAAGTTTAGTAATCTTGATTGATTTCTATCAACATCCAACCAAATGAATATTTTGCTTGTTCATTATTTCTACACAATAAATTTTCTAACTTACAAGTACCAAACTCACAAGAGTAATATAATTGCCCTCAAAATTTTTCCATTAGACTGTCCAAGCAGCTCTATTCCGGGCTCCAATTGGACCCAAGGGAGCTTCAAGACCAAGCCCTCCATTTTGTTAGACCAGACCGAGTATTTGCATGAAGAAATCAACTTCTATGATGAAGTTCAATTAATTAAGGGCAAAAACAGGAAATTAATGGTTTACTTTTTTCATGTTATTGCGTGGGAATTCCACATGTAGACGTGCTGAGACGACGCATTGATTTTGTTGACCTTATCATCGCTTTAAGTTTGAGCTAATGCATGAATTGAATTTGCTTTTTGAGTAGGATTTTGATTTTTAAAAATATAAATTAACCTGCATTTTCAAAATATAAAACAAAAAACGTGAGGAGGGAAACTAGATTTGTTTTTGGCAATTATACCTCATGCTACTTTTTTACTTCTATTATTTGAGTGTGTACTGGATTTTTGTGCAACACTAAGACACTAAATAATCACTTTGCCACTAGGGCTGTCAAAACAGCTTGTTGTTCGAGAAAAGCTCGTGTTCGGCTCGTTCGCTAAGTTAACG